ATTCTCGAAACCTTGGTGTTTGGGTGGAGATTTCAACGAGATCAAGAATGTTGAGGAGCGAAAAGGGTGCTCTAGAAGGGATAGAGGAATGCGAGACTTTAACAATTTTATGAATAAATTAGGTAGGCAATTCACATGGAGCAATTCCCAGGATGGTGCAAGATGAAGCAAGTTAGACAGATTTATTTTTAATCTCGTAAAGTTTAAGTTCTTATTCACCCCCAAAAAAAAAAGAAAAAAAAGTTTAAGTTCAAACTTTGTGGGTTACCAAGAGTCATCTCAGACCACTGTCCATTGCTCTTATTAGATGATGAAATTGATTAGGGACCACGTCCTTTTAAGTTTATTAATGCATGGATTTTGCATCCCCTTTTCCTTCCACTTGTCAAGAAGACACGGGTAAAAGCAGAGGCTCATGGGTGGGCTAGTTTTGTTCTGTGGAAAAAAATTGAAAATCTTGAAGGAGGTCATAAGGAAATGGAATGTTGAAGTTTATGGCAACTTAACTCTGAACATCAAAAGGCTAAAGAGGAATTACATCTGTTAGATCTTGCAGTTGAAACTAGAATTTTGGATGATTCTGAAGTAAACAGAAGAAGGGATGTTAGAGATGAGCTGTGGACGTTAAGAAGAAGAAATGAGTGGTTATGGTTGAAAAATCTAGACTTATATGGGCATTGAAGGGGGACCATAACACCAAGTTTTTTCATCTGATGGCCTCAAGTAGACAAAATAGAAACCTCCTTAGCTCTGTTTCAATGGATGGTATTGTGCATGAAGATCCTCAAAGGCTGAAGTTTGAAGTGTTTACTCATTTTAAAAGGTTGTTCTCTGATGAGTGGAAAATAAGGCCTAAGTTGGGTGGACCCTTACAACATATTGATAGTGAACAATCATCTAGAGTTTTGGAAGTCGAATTTTCTGCAACAAAGGTTCGGGCTGCAATTAAAGGTTATGATGACAATAAAGCTCCTAGCTCAGTGGGTTTAACCTGATTTTTTTTCAGAAGTGCTGGCCTGTTTTCAAGAATGACTTTACGCGCTTCTTTAAGGAATTCCATGAGCATGGGATGCTCCTTAAAGGGCTGAATAGCTCATTTGTGGCACTTATCCCAAAGAAAGACAATTCTACCAGTTTGGTTGACTTCTGACCAATTAGTTTAATTGGTTCAATATACAAAATCTTAGCTAAAGTGCTTCCTGCGAGGCTAAAGTTGGTGTTGCCTAAGATCATAGGAGATGTGCAATCAACTTTTGTTGGCGAAAGGAATATACAAGATGGGGTGCTTATAGCAAACGAAATGGTGGATGATTGGAAGAAGAGGAAGAAAAAAGGGCTCATTCTAAAGCTTGATTTTGAGAAAGCTTATGACTCTGTGAATTGGGATTTCTTATTCTCTATGTTGGTTAATTTTGGGTTTGGCAATAGGTGGATTACCTGGATGAAAGCTTGTGTGACTACATCAAGAACCTCAATCTTAGTAAATGGTTCCCCAACTTCTGAATTCAACCCTGAAAGAGGGCTTAGGCAGGGGGACCCTCTGTCACCTTTCTTATTCATCATTGTGGTTGAGGGTTTAAACATTTTTCTAGTTAGAGCAAAAGAGTTGGGGCTTTTCAAGGGTGTATCAGTGGGGAATTGTGAAGAAACCATATCACACTTGCAATTTGCAGATGATACCATAGTCTTTGTAAAGCTGAATGGGAGGAGGTTATGAATGTGAAAAGGATCCTTAGATGCTTTGAGATCATGTCAGGCCTCAAGATAAACTATCATAAAAGTACTATTTGTGGAATAGGAGTTTTAGATGAGATGGTGACTAACTTTGCATCTAAATTGAATTGTATGAAGATATTAGTACCATTCACTTATTTAGGTCTTCCTTTGGGTGAAAATCCTAGAAGGAAGAGTACATGGGTCCCTATAATTGAGAAGTGTCAAAGGAGGGTTGCATCTTGGAAAAGGAGATTTCTTTCTTTTGGGGGTAGACTTATACTCATCAAATCAGTTTTGTCAAGTTTACCAGTTTATTATATGTCTCTTTTCAAACTACCTGAAGGTGTTGCAAGAGCTCTTGACAGAATCCAAGCTGCCTTCCTCTGGGGAGGTTCTGATTTGAAAAAGAAGATCCATTTGGTGAAATGGGAAGAGGTAACCAAGAGTAAAAAGCAAGGGGTCTAGGGGTTAGGAAGGTTAGAGATTTTAATGATTGTCTTTTAGCAAAGTGGTAGTGGAGATTTGCAGCTGAAACCACAGCCTTATGAAGAAGAACCATTTGTTACAAATATGGAATATCTGGTGGTGGTTGGTTTCCCAGTCAGAACCTTGAGACTAAGTACTCTAGGACTTGGCTGGACATATTGCATGTTGCTGACTGTAATCATAGCCTCAAGGAGTTTTATGCAGCTAATTCAGAGGTAACTGTAGGTAATGGGAATATAGTCTAATTTTGGAATGATGCATGAGTGGGGCCCTAAGCACTTTCTGAAGTCTATCCCAGATTATACAACTTGTCAATTGATAAACTCATTTATTTGAAGGACTGTATTGAACAAAAAGGAAATTTTGATGGATGGAATGTGAGATTCAGAAGACCATTATTTGCTTGGGAAGAAGAGCGGGTTCAAAGCCTGTATAATTTGTTGAATGCAGCCATCCCTGTGTTGAGTAACCATGATGACTGGCTCAAAAGGAATGCATCATCATCTGGCTAATTTTTGGTGTATACACTTTACAAGAGAAGTTACTCAACAACTAAAATGGAAACTCATCTTCTTGATTTGATTTGGAAAAACATCTCTCCTCCTAAAGTTCAATTCTTGGGCTGGTTTGTGTGGAAAGGTAGGATCAAAACTTCTTTTTATCTCCAACGACTTGGTGTTCTTGGAGCCAATATGAGCAATCTTTGTATCTTCTGTAACACTGATTTGGAAACTTTAGATCATGTGCTGATGGGTTGTCCATTAATTTGGAAGGTTTGGTCCCATTTGATGAATTTGTGGGGAATTTACTGGGCTATACCAGGGTCTGTGGTAGGATTGTTGGACTGGTGGACTGACTTTAAGTATAAAAAGTTGGAAGTAAGATTGTGGAAAGCTTTGTTGTTGGCATTGGTGTGGTGTGTTTGGAACCACATAAATGAGTGTAAGTTCACAAAAGCTCAGCCAAATTTTGGTGAGTTGCAAGAACTGATTAAAATCAGAGTGGCATTGTGGATTAAGAGCAACACTACAGGGATTTGCTACTCAGTATAGGATTTTGTTTCCCATATTCAACAAATTAGAACCCCAGCAAAGGATATTTAATGTTGTATGCTGCTGTTTTTGGCCTACTGAATGCTGCTGCTGTATGTTTGCTGATCTGAGGTTGCTATTTGGATTGCTGATATTCAGTTTGAAGATGTTTTGTTTCGTTGATGGACTGTTGTATGAGGATGTTTTGTTTTTGCTGTTTAGTCTGCTGTTTTGTAGCTGTTTTGCTGTGTTGTTGTTCTGTTGTTCTTATTTAGGTTGCTCTTGATTGGCTTTTCACTAATTTTTGGGTCAAGTGCTAGCATATGATTGTGCTTCATCGGCGGTGCCAACTTAGTTGGGATTGTGAAGGCTTAGCTATGATGCTTTGTGCATTTTCCTGATTTGTTGATGTATTTTTGCATATATTTTGCTTTTATCATCAATAAATCTTTTTCTTTGCTGATCAAAAAAAGAAAAAAAAAAAAGAGACCAAATAACTCAAATTCTCCTTTTTTCTAACACATGGTGACATTTCTACAAATAATTCTAAACTCTGGTGCCTTATAAACAATTTATCACCATTTCTTCCCCTTGACATTAAGGAGAAGGAAGGCTTTAGGACACCAATAGGGTGTTCTTTTTATATATATAGTATTAGCTACTGACATACATGGTAATTGTGAAATTTAAGTAAATAAAAATAAAAATAAATGATAAAAATGTTTAATATCATAATTTGTGTGTTATTCAAATGATATGGATTTTCTTTTCTAAATTTAAGATTAAGGTTTCAAGTTGTGTGCACTTTTCTATATAAGAGTTTGGATATAAGTCCAACCTTTACTTAATATAATAATATATATACGTATAATCCGAATAGTAAAATATGAAAAATTTATTTGATTATAAAATCGAACACAACCCCCCAATTAAGAACAATTATTTGTTGATTCTAGGACAAATTCATATACTGCCTCAACTTTAATATTTATTGGTAAAATAGTGGGACCTATTACTTTTGTTAAATTTTTAAGAGATAACTTGTTAAATATCAAGTAATAAACAGTATAAAATAATATTCGAACACCACCGAATAATTACCCCCAATTAAACCCACCAAATGTGTTGCCATCGGTCCAAACTTAGGTAGGTTGAGAAAAATTAATTTGCATCCGTCCGCTTTTGAGAGGGTTGTGCAGGTTAGCGGGTGGATGCGATTGGTTTAGTGATTTGGGCTTCACTGTTTTGGATTTTTTTTTCAAACAATTTTTCAATAATTTTTTACTATTTAGGACTGAAATTTTTTATAATAAAAATAAAAGCTCAACTTTCATGTTACATAAATAACAAATATAATTACTAAATAAAATGTCATTTTTTTGACACACAAGGTATAAAAGTATAATTTTATTTTCTTAAGAGTGTTGACGGATAAGATTAAGTCGAGTAACTCCCATCCGTCGTCTGTCCGAATTTAAATGAATTAAAAAAAATATATCTACGTTCGTCCATTTAAATTATTAAAATAATCTATTTTGTAATGGATTAATTCAAACCATTTAATTTTGAGATATGAGGTAATACCATGGTGTCCATTTATGTGATGTGATTATATATAATGCAGAGGAAGCAAAACTGATAGGTATGATTAAGTAGAGGTAGCAAAACTGATAAAATATTGGTTGGATGGTCCAACTCCATTAAATATTTCCGCGGACCCCGGCGAGGTTTTCCCACCTACCCTCATATTCTACTACAAACAAAAGCTCCCTTCATTACTCTCTTCTCTCTCTCTGTTACTTTAAACCACTTCCTCTCACTTCCAACTCACACCCAGATCTCTAGACCCTCTATCTCTGTCTCATGTCCACAGCAGACCCACCTGAGTCCGCCACCGGGGTTGGCCTCGGCTACGGCATTGCCATTGCTGTCAGCCTCCTTGTCCTCGTCTCTACCATCATGTTCGTTTCCTACGCCTGCGTTAGAGTCAAATCCGGCGCCATCAGAAGTGGCCGTGGCCGTCACGATGGCGACGATGGAGGAGAGCCTCCCCACCACACTATCACTACCACCACCACCACCTTGACTTCTTTGCCTGGTGAAGCTACTAATATTATAAGGGCGGAGGTGTTGGGCCTGGAAAAGCCCATGATAGAGTCCTACTACCCGAAGACAGTGCTGGGAGAGAGCAAGAGGCTGCCTAGGCCCGATGAAGGCCCGAGCTGTTGTATTTGCCTGTCGGAATATAAGCCCAAGGATACGATACGATGGGTTCCAGAGTGCAATCACTGCTTCCATGCCCATTGCATTGACGAGTGGCTCCGTATGAGCGCCACCTGTCCCATCTGCCGCAACTCTCCTGCTCCCTCCCCGACTCCCACTCCTCTTTCAGAGTTGGTACCACTCGCCTCTCGTCCTCGCTAATTCTTTTCATTTTTTATTATTAATATATTATTATTTTTGTTGTAACTTTTTTGTTTGTTGTATTTTTTTTTTTAATATTTAGTTTTGGGTTTAATTTCTCGATATGTATAAAGCAATGTACCCAAGCTCCAAGCCGATTTTACGCTAGAAACTGGAAATTGTAGTAGAAACTGATTATAGTACAAATTTTAGAATAAAATTGCAATAAAATAGAAAGGATAAATAATCACTACAACGAAACTAATTATTCACGGCATTATGTTTACGACATGTATTAAATTCATGTCGTAGTTGTAGACGCGCCCTTGGGCTTCAATGCTATACCTTGGATTCAAATGTCACGGTTCTTAATCTGATCTCACAATGTGCGATGTGAAATTGATAAATCACCAAAGAGTCCAAATTCGGTAAATCATTTTGGAAAACTGATTTTTAAGAAAGAAGTGTCAAATATGGACTGCTTTGTCAGATACAGAGTCGCCACCTAAATATTTATTTTGGGGGAATTTAGGAAACCCTGACTTGTTGCCTAAGGCCACGCGTCCGTCATCACCAAAATTGCCACGGCTCGGGAACTTAAGTACGATTGAGGAAGGTCATCTATGAGCACCCCCGCTCGCCCGATCAAAGATCGGCCTGTACTAAGCATGATATTTTTTTTTGAAAACACACGTGTTCTTATTCCGGTTCATTAGCCTAGAATTACTATGTGATGCGCACAACACACAAGTATAGACTGGATCGCCTAAGTTGGAACAAAACATTTCATGTTTGTTTGAAAATGGTTTGAAGGAGCTACTCGCAAGTAGGCTAAGACGTGGATTTTGCCACCTCGAGTGGGCTTAGAAAACATGATTTTGCCACCTCAAGTGGGCTTAAAACTCGCATTTCAATGAATTGTTCCAATTCAAGTAATCCAACCTTCACCCACAGGCATTTAGACAGTTAAACACATAAGCAGTTAGCCTCATGGCAAACATGCTATCATGGCAACACTCACACACATGCAAGATGCTAAAGTATAAAAGTTTACCTAGTACTCCGAGCTAAGACAATAGCTAGTTAGTAATCAATGCATGATCCTAGCTATGTTAAGATGGCTAATGCAACACATGCAAAATGCAACTAGAAATAGGCTCGGCTATTCTAAAATGGCATATGAAATACAACTTGATAATCATGTATTCAAGTAGGAATTGAAATACTATGCAGTTAGTATGATGCGCCGAGTCCAGTGCATGCAACACAAATGAATGATGAAAACATGCGGGCATAGGAATGCTAATTGAAACATGACCTAAAACTAACCACTAAAAGCAGGTAAGTAAAAGGGAGAAAGACGTGGGGTTGGAAGACATTCACACACTCACGCACGCTTATTACAATATTCGCCCTCTCGACGGAAGGTCCGAAAGAATAATACAAATTGACTAATTAACTAACTAACTAGCTAATTAATTATTACACAACACTTAATTAATTAAACAAATTAATTAAGCTACTAAAGCGGTAAAGAGGCCTCGGAAAGAGGGACAAATGCATGCATGCTCGACTCTACTCGGAAATTTATCGCCATGCTCATGCTGCCTCTGTTTACACTGCTCTACACCTCTAAAAACTGTGCAAGTCTCAAGGATGCTTCTTAATCACCTTCTGGGTGCTGTGAGAGGCCATCGACCAAGTGGAAAGGCCATCGACCAAGGGTAATTGTTCATCGACCAATAATGGGGCTCTTGGCCAGACACATTTAGCCGATTGGCACTAAATATGGTCAACCGACCATCTATTCCTGCAGAATGCTCCTGCTGCAGCAGAGGACAAACAGAGCATGACAATGCATTTTTCAAGACAATGTTTGCACAACCACCCTCCTTATCATGTTATGAACTCAAGGGAGTGTAGTCCTCAACCCCCGAGCCACCAATCACGCACCTCGATGCATGATGGCCAAAGAGGCCAAGTGTGCACTTCAATGTAAAATGAATGCACAAAAACACATAAATGCCTAGAACTCTATCATGCTTTGATCAAGAGAGAGCGTCGGCGACTGGGGATTGAGGCACGTTTCGTCACTTCAAGTACGAAACGTCCCTCGCTTCTCGTGTTTGGCTTAACACCCAAACCAAACACAATGCAATGCATGTATGCCAAATACAATGCAACATGGAAACGCAATGTTAGACAACCTAAGTATACCAAATGCAATAGGACTCAAGTATGCACACAAGGCTAAGGCAACAAGCATGTGAAATGCAATGCGACCTAAACAAGCATGTGACAAAATGCAAACTAGCAAGCATGCAAAATGTAACCTACACACACAAAACATGCATGGCATGCAAAGATGGATAAGTATACAACATTAAACAACGTGGTAAGTGGACTTAAACTAAAGATGGATAGGCCTCAGCCATGCCCAAAATCAGTGGCCAAAGTGATGAATTAAGGCACCGAAAGGGCAAAACACGCATGTACACAAATTGATCCATAAACTACGCAACAATGCACAATTCTCAAACATGAGCGAGATGTGATAAACATGAGAATGTGACAATGCAATAAGCTATGAAATCATTCAAGGAATAGTGTCAAACCACTCAGACAAGTTAAGCATAGCATGCTAATAAACTCAAAGCTCAAAGCTAGCTAAGGGACTTGCACCAAGACTACAAGAATCAAGCCACGAAGGGCCAAGGTGAACCAAAACAGTCCCAAGGCGGACTAAAATAAGGCTAGAACATGCATGAGCGTAGCCAACACGAGCTAAAACAAAGGATCAAAAGCATGAAGCATGAAAAGGAAACAAAGAGGTGTTACACTACACCTATCAAAACCAAACATGGCATGACTTAGGTCAATAAAATCAGAGTTATGGCATGTTAGGATGAGCCCAAAAACCCACTTAGATGGCATCCCAAAGGCCTAAGCATGATGGCATACACAATGACACATTTATGAGGCATAAAACACAAACCCTTTAAAGCATCAAAGGAGTGATAAGTGCAAGCGTATGAGCATGAAACATGGACTGAAATAACATAAAAAGTGACGCCAAATCACTGAAATGGCCCAAGCAAAACATGTTTGTGACTTGGACTCTCAAAGCTAACAAGCTAAAATGCATGGTGGCTATAGAAAGCATTGCACACATGATCCAAACAACACCAAACAGAGCTCAAACATAGTAAAACATGACTAAAAGTTCCTTTGGGTTGAGCCAAAAATAGGCAAGCATGATGGTCCAAATGCATGATGCATGTCAAAGCAAATAAGAAGATCGCAAGACAAGTGTATAGTGCATGTAAAAGACCAACAAACCAACTCAAAACAGAGGTATATCATGCCAAGATAACACCAAATACTTGCTGAAATGGGGCCAAAACATGCTATGCAAACATGCTACCAATATGAGCCAATAACACAAGCATATGAGACATAAGGAGAAAGGGGTGTCCCCCTCCTATACAAGACTCCAAAACCAATTCAGTGGTGGGAAGGTCAAAATAAGATGATACCAAAGCTCAAAGGTAAAGGCATAAAACAAGGCCAAACAAGGCCTAAGTGGGGGTAGACAACCCTCAACCAAAAAGTGACCTTAAGCAACCATAACAAGCATACAAAATCAGAACTTTTTTTAGTTTAGAGTTAAGCTTACAACAATATAGAAGTATGTGTAAAAGCTTAAGCCAAAATGGGGTATCTAAAGTTTAGAATCTCACCTTTGAAGAACAACTTCAAGAACACAAGACCAACAACGCTCTCTAATCAAAACCAACTCAAGAACCTTAAAATCAACCTCCTAGTACCTTAGCACACAAGGATGGTGTAACTCTAGGTGTTTGTGTGCAATAGTAAGAACAAAACATACTTTTGAGCTCAAACACACACACAAATCTAGAGAGAGGGAGATATATAGAGAGAGAGATATATCTAACTTGTATATCAGATTTCTAAAACCCCTGGAAAGGGAGAGGAGGCTCTCATTTTATAGAAAACCAATTTTGCAAAGCTTCTTGGAGAAGTTAAGCAAGGCTTAAATCCCTCCATACACGTGTATGGAAGGGGCAGAATTGTGTGTGCCAAATATCTGCCAAAAGCAGATGAAAAGAGGTCGGCTGGAAAATATGGCCGATTGACCAACAACGGTGGCCGACCGACCAAAAACAGTGCCGATCGGCCAGCACCTTTGGCCGATGGCAAGAAAAAGGGGCCGATGGCTTCAAGCCTTGGCCGATGGCAAGAAAAAGGGGCCGATGGCTTCAAGCCTTGGCCGATGGGTTGAAGGGATGGCTAACAAGCCACTCTCTTCCCTCAAAAGCAAAAACACAAGTCTATGGTCCACAACCAAGCACAAGATAGACAAGTTGAGAGGTCTTGAGGCAAGGCGCGCGGCCAAGACCTCCAGGAACTCAAAACGAACACGAGCATGGATGATCATCGAGTGTTCAAACGATGACGTCCAAGTCTTGAGGACGATCAAAAATGGGGTGTTTACAGTAGTTAGTACATTCTAAAGCATTTTTTTTTTGTAAGCCGTTAATGTTTTGTCAATAACAACATACATACCATGTAAGTCGTTGATTCATATATTTATAGCATGCAAAAATATGCCGTAAAAAATGTATGTTTTTACAACTTACAAAAATATGTCGTAAAATATTTGCACTTAAGACGATATACATTTCATGTTATAAAATATTATAACTTTACACGGCATGCATTGACATGTCGTGAAAACTTTTGCAAAAAAAAAAATTCAATCCGAAATTTTTTTATAGCATGCAAAAGCATGCCGTAAAAAATATATATTTTCACAGCATACAAAAATGTCATAAAATATTTGTACTTAAGACGACATACATTTCATGTCGTAAAATATTATAATTTTACACGGCATGCATTAGCATGTTGTGAAAACTTTTATGGAAAAAATTTCAATCCGAATTTTTTTTTTTATTTAAAAAAACTAACAATTTCCAACCAAGGTTCTCACTTTACATTTTCCTAATTAAGGACAAGGTAAAAAATAATTTATACATTATTTTATAATTTAGCGTCTCTTTTAAGGGATAATTGCACCCAGTGGGATTTTGAGAAAAAAAAATTACATATTCATGAAAAAGTTTATAATTTTAATAATTAATATTTATATGGCTTCTCATTAATTTGTAATTAATTTTTTTAAAATTACCTTGATTTGATATTTT